TGTACCTTCAAAAATTAAATTTCTCATATTGCATCATTAATATATTAAAAACATTACAATATAATTTTTCTGTTAGTTTTACGTTAATTTTTTCATCAATGTCAATAAGTCGAATTTTGATGAAAAAAATAACAAAAACTAACAGAATAGTCGCAATGCAATATATTTGATATTTGATAATGCATATGAGAAATTTAATTATTGAAGGTAAAAAATAAAAAATCTTAAAATCTTTCAAGGTACAAAGTGCAAAAAGTTTATTGTTATATAAATAATAGGGGTAACCTATGTATGAAAGTACGGTGCAATGTTAATGATTCTGAGAGAAATGTTGGTGATATTGAATGAGTCTATTTGAGACTGTCGGATGATCTTATTGAAGTTTGTCTTATTTTATTTTATAAATAATTATCAAATTGGATTATAAGATCAAATATATGTTATATTTAATTTTTTTTAAACAATTAGATTTAATAAGACATAAAATTAATTTTTTGACACTAAATTTATCATTTAATTTATTTACACATAAGATTTATATTTTTATAGATTCAACCAAAAAAATATGATTTTATATTGTTCACTTATGTCGTGCGCTGTTAGTAATAAAAAAAAGATTAATTATAAATTGCACTCTAAAAGATCGTTCAAATTTTAATTTACACTCTCAAAGATCAAAAATCTCAATTTGTACCTTCAAAAATATAAATTTGTATCAATGTGCACCCCTAAAGATCAAAAATCTCAATTTGCACATTCAAATATAGAAATTTGTATCAATGTGCACCTAAAACTAAATTGATAAATTATACATAGATCCCCTTATACTTATCACTTAATCATTTGGACCCCTTCACATTTAGAATAATACTCTTACATTTTATGACGCTCGTTCACGTGTAACACGTAACCCATTTTCATTGATATCTATTAATATAACCGTTAAAAAATATTTGCACATTAAGTGATATATTGCATTGGATATAAAAAATATTATATAAATATATACATTCTATTGGACATTTAAATGATAAACTTGATTTTAAATTTTAAATTATATCAGACCCACAAAATAAAGGCTAATATGAAATTATAATTTTTTATTAAGATAAAATCATATTTTTTAACGGTTATATTAACCGATATGAATGAAAATGAATTACGTGTTACATGTGTATAAGGTCATGAGATGTATGAGTAATATTTTAAATGTGAAGGAGTTCAAACGATTAAGTAACAACCATGAAGAGATCTAGGTATAATTTATCAAATTTAATTTTAGGTGCACCTTGATACAAATTTTTATATTTGACGATATAAATTAAAAAATTTTATCTTTGAGGGTACACATTGATACAAATTTTATTTTTGAGGGTGCAAATTGAGATTTTTTATCTTTGGAGGTATACATTGATACAAATTGTTATCTTTGAGAGTGTAAATTAAGATTTTTGATCTTTAAAAATTAAATTTGAGATTCGAAATATCTTTCGGGACGTAACTTACAATTAATCCTAAAAAAACTTAGATAAAGTGCGGAGGATCTTTACTCGAGAGTTTTGGCGTCGCAACAAAATACATACACATGAGGAAAATTATGAGTACATGACGTGGCTTGTAATAACATTGAGTTATTTATCAGAATTCCATGCTTTTAAAACTTATATACTAAAAAATGATATTTTTAAATTTATTTATTAAATTATGATAATTTTTGAAAACGGAATTAATAACCCGTTTTTGTTAAAAAATAAAATCAATAATTTCATTTTTATTAAAAAATAAAATCACCAACCCCGCTTTTGTACTAAAAAAATAAATAAGGCACAGATGAAAAGTGTTTTTAGTAAACACAATTTTGAAGATTTTTATGAAAAACGTGTTAATAAACACGCTTTTCAGACAAAATTGTCAATAACAGAGTTGATCATGAATTCGAAGACGTCTTCTTGTATACCAACCTTCTGATAACTTTGAAAACCTAAGATTTCTCTCTCGCTCTCTCTCACTAAACATGCTTTTTACAGACCACCATAATTCTCTCTCTCTCTCTCTCTCTCTCAAAATTGTGGCTACTCCCCTCTCACATGTTACAACATCAACAGCTGCAACACGTGAAAAGCGTAAAAACGGAGACGTTGAATCCCCCATTTTTTTTTTTTTGGCAAAAATAGGATTATTGACTCTATTTGTTTAACAAAAGCGAGATTATTGATTTGGTTTTTAAAAAGTGTTATAGTTTAAAAAATAAGTTTAAAAGTGTCTTATTTTGGTAAATTTATTTAGAAAATGCCTTAGATTAATAAGTAACTCTAATAACATTCGGATCAAGAGAACATATAATACTTTTAGTTTACTATATCTTTAAGGCACCCCTTCTATTTTTTAAAAATTTCACTGACACCTCCTATTAGATTAAAAATGTTAACTAAAATATAATTTTACTAAATTGTCTATGAGATATTTTAAGAAAAACTTCATCTACACACCTTCTATATAGACATATCTTTAATGAGATCCCCTCTATTTTTAAATTTTTTTACGTATTAAAATTCAGGTTAATTAAAACTGGATCCAAGTTAATTAAAATTTAGTTTTTACATATTAAAATTCGTGTTAATTAAAAATTATTTTTTTTATGTACTAAAATTTGTGCCCATAAAAATTTTATTTGAGCAAATTAAAATTCATTTTTAATCGGCTTGAATCAAATTTAATCAACTCGGATTGAATTTTAATCAACTTGAATCAAATTTTAATTGACACAAATTTTAATCAGAAAAAATATAAATTTTAATCGATTCGAAACAAATTTTAATCAGTTCTAATAGCTCAGGTAGAACTCAAATCGACTCGAATTTTAATATGTAAAAAAAAAATTTAATAAGCTCGAATATTAGTATGTAGAAAAACGAATTTTAATGGGTTCAAATTTTAATATATAGCAAAATAAATTTTAATCGGCTCTAATTTTCATCTAATTTTGTGTAAGATTGTTTGGTGTTTATGTTGGGGTAATTTTGATATTTTGATTTTTTTTCTTAAAAATGATAGTTTAACTACAGGGAGTGTCAGTAATATTTAAATATAAAGTAAAAATGGTGTCAGTGATGATTTGAATAACACAAGTGATGTTCTTGAAGATACGATAAATTAAAAAAAAAAGGGACTGATTTATAATATATTATCGATGCTAATATAGTATCATGGTTTTAATAAATATCTTTTTACTCACCAGACTGTTTCAGGTAAGTGAGGACCACAAACAAGTCCACAATTGCCAATATGAGTCCCGTTTCAATAGTTGGGACCATCGATCCTCTCCTCTTACTGGTACACGTTACCACCAGTTTTTAATGGATAAATTCTATTTTTACTTTATTTTTGTATTGCAATTAAGATAATTTATGCACATTTTAATTATTTTTTTTTTATCTGGTCTGAGCCTAGAGAATTCTTGAGATAGAAATCACTCATAATTTTGCCCCCAAGAAAATTACTTCATTTTGAGTTCAATGCATCTAAATTTACCATTCGTCATTAATTGGGGTTAAATCTTATTATATCCTACTTTTATACTATTTTTTTTAATGTGATGTGGTATAATTAACTAATAATATTAAAATAAATCAACAAATGGATCCCATAAATAATAATAATTAACCTTCCATGTAAGCAAATAATTTCTCACTCTTCTTCCATATAAGTTTAAGTAGAGTTCACTTTATTCATTTATAGTTTTATTATTTATTAGTGATATCATATAATTAATGGTAATATGATATCACTGTTATATTCAATATTTAGTACAATCATTCTTTTATGTCTAAATTTTTTTGAAGTGAATATATACACAACTAAATGTAAAACAACTACCTTTTTTTTTTTTTTTCTTTTTTTAACTATGTGTCTTTAGGGAAGGGAGGGGAGGGGAGGGGAGGAGAATTTGAACCCTTAATCTCAAAAATACAAAGTCTTGACAAGATAAGGACTACCTGGTCGAGGTATTAGCGTAATCTATGATGAGATATTCTTTTAAATCTATCATATAATTCTTGCATTAACTTGGTATTTTGTCATTCATACAATTTATTTATTTTTAAATATTTAGTCCCTAGACTAAATTAAAAAAGGGGTTACCTACAAGATCTCTAATAATAAGATATAATTCCCTAAAATTTGATTTGTTAAATTATTACTCCCCCTGTTTCTAAATATCTGTCGCTTAAAGTTTTTGTACAGGAATTAAAGAAACTATTAAATATTTCTAATATGAGTAAAAAATAATTGCACAAGACTAAAATATCTTATTCAATACGTATTGAGAAGGAAAGGAATATAAAATACACTTACCCTCTACCTAATCTAATTCATTAAAAAGTTAAGGGTAAATTTGAAAAAAAAAAATATTAATTATGTTTTGATTTCATTAAACGACAGATATTATGGAACAAAAAAAATTGTATAAAACGATAGATATTTAAAAACAGAGAGAATAAATGACTATTGATGATAAAATCAAATAGAGGTCTCATGATAAACCCATGAGGACACCCACCTTGGATCCTCTCTCCATTATTGTTTTTTACACGTTAATTGGAGTAAATATTTAATATAACAATTACATCAACATTATTACGTAGTGTAATTGTTCAATAAAAAATTTAAAAAATAGATAGAGTGTATCTCACTGTCTTACATAGAATTGAATACATATTACATGGATAGATAATTATTTAATTATATGAGACTCACTTACTGATTTGTTTTCTTATTAACCAAGAATTATACCATATGATGTTATTGGCATGACATATTTATTTTCATTTCAATATTTGTTTAGGTAAGGGTAATGATACATATATTTAAAAATTAGATTTAAAATATAAATTTAATAATTACAATTATTAATTTGATTGTAATTCATAAAATTTATTACCACCGCTGCCTGCCTATTCACTTAATTGCTGCGTGGTAAGTTTCTAGGTAGTACTATTGTGCTTATCCATTCCTCCATTATTATTATATAAACGCACTGCTCCACAACAGCAATCAACAATAAGAGAGCAATACTACTACCATCATCGCACTGGTTAGTAGGAAACCAAACCAACTCTCCGAAACGGGATCATCTTCTCCGACATCCTCTCTCTCTCTTCATTCTCCAATGGCGACAAGGAAGAAGACCCACCACCACGAAAGACCAAACTACCTCTATCTCGAAGGATCAGATCACAGAGTCAATCCAGTCACCTCCGATTCTGGGTTTGAACTCCGTGAAGCTGAAGTCTGGGATTCAAGCGAAGTTGTCGATGATGTTGCATCTGAACCCAAGAAATCTATACCAACTTCACGCATGAAGAAACCACTGAAGAAAATCAGCAGCACTGATCGGAGGCCCGGCACTGCGGCAACATCGCTGCCGGTGAACATACCGGACTGGTCACAGATCCTCGGAGGGGAGTACAAGAACCCGAAAAGAGAGAATGAGGAGGATGATGATGATGAAGATGATAGGGTACCGCCCCATGTGTATTTAGCAACGACTAGAGGTTCTTCTTTTTCTGTGCACGAAGGTGTTGGGAGGACTTTGAAGGGAAGAGACTTGAGTAGGGTAAGAAATGCTATTTGGAAGCAAACTGGGTTTGAAGATTAGGGCAGAAGATTAATGTTGTCATTTGCTGAAACTAATATTTATACTTGGTAGTTCTAACATTTTAGTAATGTTACGTTGATCAAAATTAAGGACCAAATAAAGAATTTAAATGATATGACAGGTACTGATATGACAAGATTAAAATTTTTTCGCCTTCTCCAAATCAAGAAAAAATGTGGCAAAATTTTGGTTTGTGCGTGTTAGAGAAGCAGAAAAGATGAAAAGAATCTTTATCTGTGCGTGTTAGGGGAGCAAAAAAGACGAAAAGATTTTGCTCCATCGGTCATTGATTTGGAAAAGACTAAAAGAATTTGTTGATATGAAAGTTTATTTTGTCATAGTAACTATCATATTATTTGATTTTTTTATTTGATTTTTAATTTTGGTCAATATAACATTACTAATTATGACTAATAAGATGTTTAATACTCTTAGCGATGAATATTTGGTTCAATGGTATTTTTTGTCTTATAAATACTTCACTTTCTTGAAATTAAGAATTCAAGTTTTTTTCTCCTCCCAAAAAAAATAAAAAAATAATCCTCTGGTTTTGGTGTGTTTCAGTGGGATTATAATTCAGAGAATCACTTCCCTTATATGTAATACTAACATTGAGATTTTCTGAACATTTATTTTTCAAATGTCTATGTTTTCTTTTTTCTTTTTGTTAATTTTATGTGGCAACAAGTAAGGCTATTAATCAAACTGAGTTACTCGAGCTTGACTTGAGTTTGACTCATTCAGGTTCGGTTCGTTTTCTAAACGAGCCCAAACTTAAACAAATTTTTAAGTTCGTTTATAAAACAAGTTCTACAAGTTCGGTTCAAATTCGACAGACTCTACTCGTTTATGTGAAAATACTTGGACTCGACTTGAGCTCGATTTGTTTTTGGCTCGTTCAGGCTCGGCTCATTTCTTAAATCAGCCGAACTTAAACAATTTTTTAGGCTCGATTAAAAAATAAGTTTTTCAAGTTTGACTCAAATTTGGCTTAGGCTTGTTCGACTAACAACTCTAGTGACAAGTAATCTCTCACATATGCTGCTAAAGTAAGCTTCTGATACTTGTAATGACTCACTAATTATATATATCAGACAAACTCGAGAATTATTAATAATAATATTTAAACGCAAAGATGTCTGAATTTACAATTTTATTCTAAATTACTCTCACACCACCAAGCTAACAAGATTTTATTTTGATCTAACAATTTTATGTAGTTGAAAATCGTTTCAACTACATATTCTGTACATTGGTAATCACCATTCAAACTTGAAAATGTATGAAATCATTCACTGATTAAATATAGTGAAGATGTCAACTTTTTTTTTTTTTTTTGTAAGATTCAAACTTGAAACCATAGCATAATAACACTAAAATGTCTTATAAAGTTTTCCTTAGTTTTTTTTTTGGGTTGGATGTCTAAATTTAGATCAAAATATATAACATCGTAACTAGAGTATAAGTTGTGAATATATGCAATCACATAAACCACATTTATTGAATATTTTAGAATTCTTTTGCGATATAAATATTTAATTATACAAAATAAAAACCCAAAAACTTTCTTGTTGGACCTATTGTTTTGTTCTTAACGATTTGTTTTTGTTTTTGTTTTTGTATTTGGGTTTGATGATAGAGAAGATACAGAGACTGTTAGGNTTTGTTTTTGTTTTTGTTTTTGTATTTGGGTTTGATGATAGAGAAGATACAGAGACTGTTAGGCTTGTTTTAGGGGTAGGTAAGAAAGCAAAAGGCTAGCTAGGTAGAAGCGTAGAACAACCCTTGAAGTAAAATTCATGTATACATTATTGAGTGACAGATCTGTCCCTATTTACTTACGCGTAAAAAGACAGATGTATCCCTATTTTGTTAGTATCGGTGGTGTGTCTGGATTTACAATATATAGAAATTATTTCTTGTGGGTTTCGTGTTTGTCAATGAAGAAGAAGAACACGTTGTGAGCTACCTAAAGAATTGACTTTTGATTTGGATCTTGAAAGTGAAATGCTATTGAGATGAAAATGAAATTCTTCCACTTTAAAAACGTTCCATCAAATTGAGGGTAAGCCATGATGGGTGGGTAGGTAGTAACTAGGAGATTATGGAATGTAAAGCTTTTGTTTTTAATATTTAACAATTATTTACCATTAAGAGTTCTACAAGGTTACAGAAGTTATCAATTTATGTCCCTGGCAGGGTATTAATCCTATCACCTCATGGTTAAAAGTATTAAGCGTACGTGGTCAACTTATGCAAAATTCAATTGGTTCAAGCAATTTTAATTATGAAAATGAACGTGCAATGATGATTCAACCCAAAAACTAAAAATAAAAATTGAGGGATTGGAAATTTAGTCGGAATTGGCAAGATTCATTCACATTGACTATATTCAAGTGAACAAATAAGTTCACGTAAGCCTTGCAATTTTTTATGCAAAATTACTCATGATTGAGTGTTTTTTTTAGCTCTATTCCTACAATAGTAAAATGACCAAACTATTCGAATATATTTGATGATGTACAAAAGTGAATTTATACACAACCTGTCGAGTAATTAATATAGGTAATAAATGAAGTAAATGTAAAAGTGAGATCCACACAAACTACAAACAGATATATAGTGGTTCGGTCAACGTGACCTATTTAGATGACAACGGTGGCTGGTGGTCTTTTTTATGGGATGTTTTTCGCATAATAAACAAATAAAAACAGTTCTCTCCCTTGGTGAACTCGTGTTTACCTCAAAAGTTGACGGTCCGGTCGCAAAGGGAGGCCAAAGGGGGCCTAGGAGTGGAGATGAATTGCTTTAAGGGCTGTCCGATCGATCCCGATGAGTCGAAGGCGATTCCTCACACACAAAAGACAGGTGATTTTGTGCACCTTTGTGCTGAGTTTGAGAAGGCTATTTATACCTTCTANGAGATGAATTGCTTTAAGGGCTGTCCGATCGATCCCGATGAGTCGAAGGCGATTCCTCACACACAAAAGACAGGTGATTTTGTGCACCTTTGTGCTGAGTTTGAGAAGGCTATTTATACCTTCTATGGAGGTCATCATCACAGGCTAGTAGGTAGTATGTATTGCCCAGTCATTGGGCAGCACACCTTCCTCTTTTGCAGGGACTAAGTTTAGACATTAAATACTCGGCCTCCTGAGCATTTAATGTCCNTATGGAGGTCATCATCACAGGCTAGTAGGTAGTATGTATTGCCCAGTCATTGGGCAACACACCTTCCTCTTTTGCAGGGACTAAGTTTAGACATTAAATACTCGGCCTCCTGAGCATTTAATGTCCCTTCCCCTGGCCCCCGAGCATTCAATGCTCTTTCTTAAATGCACATACATTAAATGCTAGATCCCCAGAGTATTTAATGCTCCTTTATCTAGACTTCCTAAGCCATAATGGACGTCACATCCTTCTGAGGATCCATTGAGTGCTCCTCTCGATGGCTGCATGTCAGTAGGGATATTTTTGTCAATTCACACTTAATCATGTACATTATGCCACGCGTCTGACTCTCCTTGGTTGCTGGTCCTGCTCACTCTATCATTCTAACTTCATGGGGAAGACAAGCCAATGATTCATAGTCTAACTCTGAGATTGATAGGCTGTAAATGTCAAAGATCCTCTTGGGAGCTGAGGTAGCGTTTCCAAAAGTACCCTTGGGATCCAACCGCGCTGAAGACAGGTTAACATCATAGAACTTGAGGTGTCCTCGGTGCCAAGGACACATGGCTTCGCCTAAGCCCTTGGATGTCCTCGGTGCCGAGAACACGTGACAACATTATAGAGCTGAGGATGTTTAGGAGTTCATCCACCCATTTTCCCTTAGCCTTTTTCAACCTCTTCTTGATTCCATTGATGGTAGTTGACTCTGTCTGTCTGTTGGTTTGCGGGTATGCAGGGGTGAAGTAATAGTTCCGAATTCCAAGATGTTCACAGATGACTTGAAGGGCTCACTGTTGAATTGGGTCCCGTTATCTGACACGAGCGCACGGGGGATCTCAAATCTTGTCACTATGTTTTTTCACACGTTCTTTTTGGTGTCCACGTCCCTGACGTGAGTCAATGGTTCCGCCTCGACCCACTTCGTGAAATAGTAGGTTCCCACTATCAGAAATTTCTTGTCTCTAGGAACTCTTAGTAGGGGCCCGACCAAGTCGAGTCCTCATTGAGCAAACGGCCAAGGACTAGTTAACAGGTGTAAGTCCCCAGCCGACTGTCGAATAATCGGAGTGAACCTCTAGCATTGATCACATTTTCAGACGTAGGCCTGCCCATCCTTTTGCATTCGCGGCCACCAGTACCCTTGAGACAAGAAACGATAAACCATGGATCGTCTACTTGAGTGTCCCCCACATATGCCCTCACGTACCTTGTGCAGGAGTGGCTCAACTTTATCTTCATGGATGCAAAACAAATATGGTCCAAAAAATGACTTTCAGTACAACTTCTGATCTGGAGAGGCCTAGAACCTCAGAGCCTTCAACTTTATCTTCCTAGCCTCTTTGGGGCATTTAGGAAGCTCTTCAGAGAGGAGGAACTTGAGTAGTGGATCAATCTAGCTAGGGGACTTTTCGCATTCCTGGACAATGCCCACTCTAGATACTTCATCTATGCTAGAGTTGGGAAGGTACTCCACAGTGATCCTTCATGTCATGGTGGAGTCCAGCGCCGAGGCCAAACTCGCTAAGGCATCGGTGTGGGCATTCTTATCTCGAGGAACTTGCTTGACTTCAACTTTCTTGAATTTGTGGAGTAAAACCATCACCTCATGGTGGTAGGATTTCATTATAGAGTCCCTCACTTCGAACTCTCTGTTGATCTGGTTGACCAATATCATGGAATTGTATTGGACGGTCAGCTCTGTATCTCCTGTTGCATCAGCAAGTCTGAGTCCAAAAATAAGGGCTTCATACTCCGTTTCATTATTGGATGCTTTGAAGCCTAGCCGGATGGTTTGTTATGTGACCACTCCTTCTGGGGAGACTAGCAGC